GACAAAGAAAACATGTCGCCTCTCTTTCGTCTCCTCAGAGAGAGAGTCAAAATCAAAAGCTATACGCAATGGAAGTTCCCAGCAAACTGTGCTGGGATGTAAACAGGTATGTGACACATAACAATCCCATGTCTGCTCCTTAAGGTGGAATGGAATTTTCCAACATTTTCATGGAATGTTAGAGGTCTTAAAGAGCTTGGCTGGTGATGATTTTAGCCATTTTTATTTCTATTGGATATGTGCCAGAAGATCATATTGATTTCCAGTCTGAAGGGTTTAAAAATACCAGAGTGAATGCAAGAAAGAACCATTATTAAGGGCCCTTTCTGCTCTCATTGCTTCCAGCCTCCAAAACATATTCTGATGTGCAATGTACAAATTCCTAATGTGATTGGTGCACATTATTATATAGGTGCCTATTCTAACAGAAAGAAATTGCAGGTTATGTATCTTACTCTGATAGATGCACCCAATATCCCCACAGGGAAGCATGTTCAACTGCACTCTGGTCCACAATGGCCCCAGTTAATGACATATGCCTGCAGAATGATGAGGAACCCTGGCCACAAATATTGCAGATATACTGTTTCAATAGATCATCATTTTCTCCAAGCATGTGTCTGGGTTTATCCACACTTCTACTTGTCCTGTATTTAGACCATGGGTCTAAGTGATTTTCCACTTGACCCACACTTTCTAGGCATGGGTCCATTCCTCTTGCTCTTCTCCTTTTCCAGGGAAACCCCACCTTTAACTTTAAATCAGAACAAATATCAATCCATGGCAAACCCCATTGCCATTTGCTCTAATTGAGCACTAAAGAGCAGTTTTACCTGGAAGAGAAAGTATGGATAAGCCCTCAGCCAGATAATGCTCTAATATGGGTCAGCACAGTGCAGTATTCTGCAACACATAGCTACTTGCAGTCTTATACCTATCATTATGGCTCCTCCATACAACTTATTTATTGAGCGTTCATCTTGGTTTCCTTGCACAAAGCTTTCACAGAGGTTAGATTATATCCAGTCTTTATTGAGCAAATGTTCTGATTTGTTTCCAGGACAGTTATAAGACAAAGATCATTCATCCTACATTAATTCTGATTTGTTTGTGAAGTGTTTACACATCTTTCTGTTAATCATTCACCACCCCCACCCTTTTCAATACATTTCTCCATCACTTTTCAAACTGCAAAAGTTCTATTCTTTTTTAAAGCAGACTTGTGACACTAGAGAAGCAAGCACTGTAATCCACAAACCTAAATTTTCAGTATGTTTGAATCCTTCCTGTAAAATAGTGACAGTTCGGAGGTACCCTCAATATTTCTCCCAATTAAGATAATTTTGTTTACATGGGATTGAAATGGCTGCAGATGTTCCTTCCATGCATCTGCTGTGACATTTGAGACCCACCACACCACTCTGCCCCTGAAGAATAGTTTTCCATGCAGGAATTTGGTCAGGTTCCAAGTCTACAATCAGAATCACATTTGCATGTACACAAAAACGTAAGTAGAGCCCTGCTGGATCTGATCAAAGTTCCATCTGGTCCAGTATTCTGCTCCCACAGTGGTCAAACAGAAGCCTACAAGGTGACCAGGTGAGACATTGGCTCTCCCACTAATGTTCCCTACTAGCTGGTTTGCTGCCTCTCATCCTATTGTTAAGAATCAAAGCTGTTGCCTCTTTATAACTACAAAATACCAACATTATTGAACCATTTCAGGGTAGGTGGGATATAGCTACACAAAGCCCTTTAATTAGCACCTTCAAGAGAAAACCTTGTATAGAATCAAAACTTGAAGTTTCTCATATTTTGAAGAGGTTACCTAATGCCCCTGCAACTCCAAACTCAAATGATGATGGACTGTTTGAAATGTTGCCACATGAAAGAAAGTGTAAGAGTAATATTCAATACCTTACTGTACCTTTCACTGCTTATTATTTAATTTGAACTTCTGAAACAGTCAGTATGTGGATAATTCATTAGCTTTACTGGTAAAATAGCATGAGTGGTTCAGAAGCGATTTGCCTCTCCTTTCCTTTTAGTTCATGGGATGGCATTGCTGTGACTGAAAAAAACAAAGAAATGAAGGAAGCTCTGCTAGCAGGAAAATGTTTCTGACATGCATAGCAGCACCTCACTGCAAAACGTCACATTTTCAGCCATTTCACAAATTATATGTGAAAATGTGTTAAAATTAAGGACTTGAAGGGGATAAGAATACCTTTGTGTTTACTGTCTAGCTGTAATCTTTATTTTATCTTTAGATGAAAAAGCAGGGGGCGGAATGACAGCTCAGGAAAAGAAGAAAACGTTGGCAATAGGAAGCCCAGATATACATACATGCTGCACATAGTTACTGTGGGAATATTGGAAGTTGCCTTTTCCATGTCAGACCATTGGCCCATCTAGCTCAATATTATCTATACCAGAAAGACAACATAGTGCCTTCCAGATGTTTCTGAACTCCAGCCGTCATCATCCCTGGCCATTGGCCATGCTGGCTGGCACTTATGGGAGTTTTAGTTCAAAAATGTCTGGAGGGTACCATGTTGACTTACCCTGGTCTACACTGATTGGCAGTGGCTCTTCAGGCTTTCGGACATGGGGCTCTGCCAGTCATACCTGGAAAGCAAAAGTGCTCTACCACTAAGCTGTCACACTTCCCCAGTTTTCTGCCACAAAACGTAGTGATGGCCACAAACTTAAATGGCTTAAAAGGGCATTAGACAAATTCATGGAGGACAATGCTATTAATGGTTACTAGTCATGATGGCTATGTACTGCCTCTGAATACCAGCCAAGGAGGATGAGAAGAAGAAGAATTGCCCTCATGTTGTGGTTTTGGGTCTCCCAGAGCCATCTAGTTAGCCATTGTGAGAAACAGGATGCAGGATCAGACAGTTTCACCCAACAGGCCTCTTCTAACGTATCTGGCCACCATGATAACTGCTGACATATTACTATCAAGGCACATGGACAGACATTACTCCAACTGTTGACCGGATACCTCTCTGCAGGACCTTGCCAACCCTCTTTGTAACAGAAGATCTGCTTCACAACTTAGTGTTACTGTAGTCCATTGCATGGCTGAGGATGCCAAAGGTTGGCTGGTTCAGGGTTATTTTTATAATTGGCCAAGCAGGCTGTTTAGCAGGTCAAATCTCTCATATGCTGCCTCTGATCTCCCCAGGTATCTGAAATGAAGCGACATATCCTACTTCTCTCTTCCTAATGTCTTCTACACATTCACAGCACTTGGGGGAAAGGGGCAGTTCTCACCTCACACTGAGCCACCACTGTACAGGAATGCATTCATATATCAGTAAAACAGCACACAAAGGAATCCACCTCAATGCAAATTATATGTACATAGTCACATCAAGATTATATTTTGCAGTGTTTTATCAATGTGCATTGATAAACACAGAGAGGGAGGACGATACAAATGAATTGAAGAAGTAGAAACCCATGCCAAAGTATACTTCTTCCAATTCTGGAATTATTTTTAGAATTTCCTATGAAGTACAAATGAAAGAAGCAGACAAAAGATGAAGAAATGCTTCATTTTTAAGTGTTGTTAGTACTTATTTTCAATCTAGTGCAATTTAAGAACAAATTTCACCATTGATTTAAAAGATAATGCAAACAATACAATGATCAGTGTACCAACCCCATCACCAAAAGGGGGGAAAAATGTGCCAGGAGCAGGGATTTGCCCAATGAAATCAAGATGTGATTATTATTCTCTTTCACCTGTACTTTGTTCTGTGCCTTTGTTTTGGCAAGGAATGTAAACATAGGCTAAGACAAAGAAGTAGGAGTGCAGATCCACACTCATTGGCTTGTTGTTTTAAAAGTATAACCGATTGTGGAATGTGGTAATTAAGATAAATAATCTAACAATAGCACAGCTTGTGTGCTGGCCTTTGTAATTTCAGGAAACACTATTGTTGTCTTTAAAAGACCCTGTAATAACTGAACACACCTTCTGTAATAAATTGTTGTTGTTTCTGTACCGGTTTGTTACACCCTTCCTACAGAGAAGGCAACAGAGGCCAGCACAAACATCCATTCAAGATTCCAATCTATAGAATGGAGACATCCTGTGATGCTCTTGCTATACCATGAAGCAGCAATTATATAGTTGGATGCCACCCACATACTTTTATTTTATTTATAAGAATATTTATAAACTGCCCACACATTTAAAAAAATCTACAATAAAAGCTTTAAGACATCATAAAAGTATAAAATCACTTATACCCGCATCACAGCTACCTGAGTTACAGTTGGATATGTTATCTACTCTATGTTGTACATCTGTATTTTATAAATATTTCTAATAAAATATAGCTTCGATAAATAAGAAAGAAAACTTCATATCTTATAGTGGTAGAGTGCATGTTTTGTATGCAAACAGCCCTAGGCTCCATCCCAGATTTTCCAGCTCTCTAGTGTTATTGCTTTGAGGTGTTTGTTTTTTTCTTGCAATCAAGCAGTATATAAATTTTATGAAATAAAAATCATGAAAGATTAGGACTAACAGAGCAATCCTATCCCTTGATCCATTTGGCTGGAAGGAGTTGGTGTGTACCAGATGTGTCCTGCCATCCTGCACAGTAAGGGTCTGTCACTGCACACACTGAAAGCATAGTGGGGCACACACTACCAACAATGGTATTCCCACTGGCACTAGTTGCCCTAAGTTTCCAAAATGGGGAAGAGCAGGGCCAGCAAAGGATCCATTAGATCCAAAGTTGTCCCATTTCCTTGGTCCCTCTGCTGTAGCAGCCTAAGAGTTGGTGCAGCAAAAAGAGGAGAATGAACTGCTCCCCCACCTTCTGTTGTCCTGACCAGCAGGAACCAGCAGAGATGGGAGTCTTTTGCTTCCTGTGAACACCCAGGCTGTGCTGAGAAGACCGAAGGAAAATAGTCATGTAGCTAAACTCTCAATGGGTGCAGTTAAAGTGAATTCTGTCACTTTAAAAAAATTCCTTCCAGTAGCACCTTAGAGACCAACTAAGTTTGTTATTGGTATGAGCTTTCGTGTGGTATCTGAAGAAGTGTGCATGCAAACAAAAGCTCATACCAATAACAAACTTGGTTGGTCTCTAAGGTGCTACTGGAAGGAATTTTTTTATTTTGTTTCGATTATGGCAGACCCACACAGCTACCTAACTGTAATCTGTCACTTTAGAACAACAAATCCACTAAAAAAAAAAAAAGGACTTTGTGTAGTTTGGAAAGTGTCAGGGAAATGCAGTGACAAGTGTGGGGTGGATGAATGACTAATGAGAAGCCATCTAAACACCCCGTAAGCAAATCAGGAAGAATGCAGAACAAATGCTCCATCATCCAGCTGCTTATTAATGGTCAGATATAATCTAATGTAAGTTTGGTGCAGGCAAATCAGCATGAATGCTCAATAATCAGGTCATCTGGAGGAGCCAAATAAGAGTGAGTTTTTGAGGCTGAAAAGCAGGGTACAAAGTGATGGGGAGGAATTACAGTGAGAATAATAGTGTGGGGCAAGGACAAAAACTATATCCAGCTGTTTAATTACTGCACTTCTTGCCCAGCCATAGTTCTATGAAAAGTCATGTTTGCTTTCTTTCCTGCCCTATCCAACTCTGTGGCAAGCCTGCTCCCGATCAAAGACACACACACACAAATTGAACGGGGAAGTAGGGATTCTGCCTCACCTAGCAACAGTGTGCTCCTCCAGTATGGCATTAATGTTTCATACTCCACTATGCTAAAAGCTTACTGAATTGACACATGAGCCTTTGCTAACAGTTCAGCAGCAGTAAGCAGTTTATATATATTATATTGTGCCATTTCCATAACCTCTGTATTATATTAATGAATAAACATAAATAAGTCAGGCCAAGAGAAAGGAAATTGTAATCACATCAAACAAAATATAGATATGTCTCCATAATAAGAGCAGTCAAATTATTATTTGCACTTAACTGTCAGGGGTTACCTTTACGCTATAGAACAATTATGGGCTAAAACAACAGAAAGTAAATGGAATATGGATTGAAAGCAGGGATGTGGAACCTCAGACAAAGGTGGCCTTCCATGCTTCTATATCCTCCACTTGGAACTCCCCCTAGGACCCCCTCCCTCTTGCTGGCCTTTATGGAGAGAAGTGGCCCACCACAAGTAATATGTTAGCTCTCCTACACACGAGTTGGAAAGTTTGGTGAATTGCCCCATTTCCTGTTTTTGCTTATCTGGAGGGGGAGGGAAATATATTTTTAATTACTATTTCTGTTGCCTGAGATTGACCAAGGCATATTCTGTATGAGATGTGTTGTGGTTGTGCTATCACCTTGTCCAAAATGCGTTCCAAGAGCAGTGATGGAATACCAAAGAGAAGCTTTCATTTCCCTATCATAGGCAAGAAAAATTGCTGAAATCAGGAGCCACTCTGTAGCCCTATGTGGTATGTTATTTTGGATGAGTTGCATGCTGAATGATGGAAGTAGTCCAATCAATGATGACGCTTTTGAATCTCTGTATCCTGACCAGTAGCTGCTGATGACACTTCAGGGGCCAGGCCTCTCCTACTGTTCTGCTCCTTGGATCAAACTCAGGTTAGGGAATGAGGAGTTGCTGTGAAGTGGCCAGTGGAGACTTACTGGGCAGGAAAGGGAAGCTAGGTCAAATTGGCTAAGGATTAACTATTTCAGAAATAATATGTGAAAGGAAGTTCAGAGACAAGGGGATTCTGAAGTCTGGGTTAAAGGAAATTGAGGCATTGATGAGGGTTTCTGGAGAAATTAAGTAATCATAGCTGTCTGTGCAAACAGAGCTGCAGAGGTGACAATAAACGGTGAAGCAGACATAGGAAATGTAACATTTCCACGGCATTCCAGACAGAACAGCTGTTTTAATACTTGTCTTATAACGTAAGTAAGTTGAAGGCTGTTGCATTGACCTTGACTTGTCTTGGGAATGCATGTGAATATAGCACAGAAGCAAGCTGCCTATATCCTGATGATGTTTAGTTTAAGAACTAACTTTTCACTTGGGAACAAATTGCATTTTGTAGTCAATTATGAATATTCATAGTAAGCTTAATTGGGGCACAATTCAACCAGACTTAAGCGCTGTTAAGTTCCATATATTTCAGTGGCATTTGGTTAAAGTTGGCATTGAAGTAATATTTTGAAAAGCGTGATCTTACGTCACTCCCACTGAAATGAAAAAACAAACAAACAAACCTCGAACTGGTGGAGGTATTCTGCAGGTTCAACCCATCACTTTAATTGTGTATGGAAGATGCAGATATTGGAGCCCTGCCATAATGTGTTCTTCCAATTTCATTCCAATTAAGAAGTGCACCAGCTGAGGTTTCTAGCCAGTCTGAAGCATCCAGTATTAAAAAGCAGTTCCACATAGAGTTTATTGCAATGATCTAACCTGCAGGTAATGAGGGGATAGAGGATATTTCCAAGATCTATATCTTTCAGAAACGACATGTCTTGGCACTAGTGAGAGACCACATTGACCCAATTCTGCACCCTAGGATTCCAAGTACAGTACAGTGTTGAATTAAATAATAATCTAGAGCACTAATTCTGAGTGATAAGAGAGGGCTGAACCCCATCTATGGCATAGATTCTATGCCAATTGTGTCACCCCACTACTTTTCAAAGTAGCTACTATGCTGCACTGTTATATTGCATGACTTTGTTTGTTAAATTCCTATCCCGCTTTTCCTCCTAAAGGAACCCAGGGTAGCAAGAATCATAATATTAAAATGATACAACTTTGAATAAAATGAAAGCATATTTAAATCATTTTTTAAAAACTAAAAATCACCTAAAACATCTACCGCATCTGAAAACATTTAAAAGCAATCACATGCCCTCATGGACTGGCTGAATGCAGAAGAGCGGTGGGAAGCACTGGCTGTGGAACCCCCTAGGGAACCCCTTAGAAACATCTTACTTCATCTCAGCAACATCTAACACCCAACCTGGCCAAGTGTGCTAGGCAGCACATGTGCGCTTACAACATTAATGTATCAACCACCCAACACATCCAAACACCTAGGGTACGAAGGGATACATGCATGAAATATGGTACTCTGTGTTCCTGTTGCATGCCTGGCCCTGCTGTTGAGCAGTATGAGGTGGTCCACTTCACCCAACAGATTTTGGGGGTCCATGAATGAGCAGCAAATGCTCAACTATTTATTAGTATATTTTATCACTACAGACATGAAGCACCATTTGGGGGTTTTTTCCCCTTATGTCCAAAATGTTGTGGGACATTTCTGTCCCATTGTGTACATGGATATCTGCTTCAACAGGGGAGTGTTTGAAAAGCTGATCCAATACTTGAAAGTGTGAAGTGCATAAGGTTGTACAGGGCAAGCTACAGCTAAGAGGAATGCTCACCACCCGCAAGTAAATCATCAGCAGGCACCATTTCCTTCATATTTTACTATAAGGATCAATGGTCTTTTGAAATGAGCCCTCTCTGTTATTGATGTGAATGAAAGCTGTTGTCCTGGTGCACATTTTCCTCATGAGTAGTCTTTTAACTGCCAAAGTTTTCCTCAGTGTGACCTTGACAGAGCATAGTATTCATGCTCAGTCCGTCTACAACATCTCTGTGCAAATTGCCCACAAAAATTGCCAATTAGCAGTAGCTGTTGCAGTCATTTTAATGCATGCTTTTGTGCACCAGCTACTGAAATGAGCCTCCCCAAATGCATTTCGTGTTGACCACAAAGAACAACCATTGCATACTAATACCCCTTAAATATGCGGAGCTGGGGGGACTGAAGAGGAGGGCAACAGACAACTCTGTTGCATTAGCCATGGAAAATCTACCAGACATTCCAGTTTGAAGCATAACAACACATGCAACCCATTTCATATTAAACTAGCGTCAAACAAAAGGTATATTTTTCCATTGAAGAAATGTTGGTGTGAGGGGTGGGAATGGAAGCAGCTGAGTCAGTATGCCATAGTTTGGTTGTTCTTGCAGAGGCAGATTTAGGAGAGCGCAACCAGTACAGTGGTTCTGGGAGTGGAGCCTCAGGGTATCACAGGAGATGCTGCAACAGTGCCCATGAGAGGTGGGGGGAGGTGGGGGATGTGTTGGCATAGGGCAGATATGTTGCCTTGCCCTCACAATTGAGGCATCCAGTGCTGTGTGACATGCTTGTATCACATTTGTGACATGTCACTCACATGCCACACAATCTGCTGACTTGTCGCGTGCTTGTTGTGCTGCTTGCACACATGACGTGAGCACGTCGTATTATGTGCCCGAATCACGTGAGCATGTTGTGCAGCATTCATGCACAGTGTGCACACATTGCCATGGGACATTGAGGGGGCCCAGCCTCCTCCTTGAAAATTTCAGAGGGGCCCAAGGCCCCTCGAACCTCCCCCTGCACCCTAGCATGTGGCATAGAGGCAGAAGGACTTGAACATCCAGCATTTTCCAAGCAAGCACCACAAGTAGAATTAGCAAAGAGCACAGAATAGACAACAACAAGGAGATCCATTACTTCATCATCCCTCTCCCAAAGCCCTAGTGCTGGAGAACTTGGGTAAAGGCATCCCCACTGATTAGAAGCTAGTTCTGTTAGTCACAAACAAGCTGTCCTTCACCCCTTTCTTCACCTTGGCATTTTTCTTATATGATAAACTTGGGGCAAAATGTTTTCTTTTTTTTCAGACACACTGTTTGCAGTATTATTATTTTTTTGCTTAGTATCCAAATCTCCAAAGCATCTTGAATTGCTTCAGAGGCTTTAGTTCTGGGCAGTTTGGAAAGATCCCACTTTGGCTCAGAGAAGCTCCAAAATGTTCCACTTCAATTCAGGCTTCATCTGAATCCACTGTACACCCCTAGTACATTAATATGATATTGTAACTCAATCAAACACATGCTTTTTAATTTTCTGGTTTGTCAACCCTGTGTTGATTGCATATTATACAGTTGTGCATTTCAAGTTTCACAGAATAGCAACAGCATGTATCCATCACGATCGCAGTGTCAGGCATGGCGAAGCACCTGGCACCACAGCATTGCGAAAGCAAAGCAGTTGCAAATCTAGTTAATCCTTTGGATGGAATACCACCAAAAGTAACATGCA